GAACTTATCGTATTAGGTACTTTCGACATACTTTCATATATTAATTTTGAGGATTTTTTTGTACGATTAGCTAAAATTTGTGTCGAATGTGGTGATGGGAAGAGACGATTTGAAGTGGTCTACGGAGGGTAGTTTGGGGTCCACTCCCTTAGAAACAAGGGAATTTGCTAGTGCACTAATGATTGTCAAAATACAAACTCGTTTCTGTGTTAACAAAGCTAATTAATCAGGAGTTAATTTTCTTCCTTCCGTTAAAGGCTACTTGAATGAAGGCGCGTGCGATGCGAAATAGGTATATACTATAGGGGACCAAAAATCGTAAAAATTGATAGATTTGTTGATATTTAAGATTTATTTTAACATTTGAATCGACATAGATATGAATGAATTGAACCGTAAGATTTGAATCATGAATCATAAGGTTTTATGCTCGGTATTGCGAATTCTCGTAAATTTGGCGGATATTTTGGATATTGAAAGAGAGATCCACTCTGGGGTCAAATTTGCAATTTGGGTAGAGCGGGTAGGAAGATGTAGTAAGTATAAGGGTGATTCTGCAATTTCAAAACTGTTTGAGCTAGAGAGGTAGATTTTTGGAAATTACAAATTGAGCTCCACTTGGGGGCATTTCCGGTTTAAGGAACAAAATAAAAAATGGTACATAATATAGTGACAAAATGTAATTATCACAAGCTTATTATAAATAATATAATAAATTAAAGTTTTCATAAATCGTAAGTTGTAAAATTTGATTGTTTTGTTGATATTTAAGATTTATTTTAACTTTTAAATTTACTTAGGTATGAACGAATTGAATCGTAAGAATTGACCCACTTTGGGGTTAAATTTGCAATTTGGGTAGAGCGGGTGGGAAGATGGAGTAAGTATAGGGGTGATTCTCCAATTTTCAAAATTGTTTCAGTCAGCGAGATGGATTTCTAGAAATTAAAAATTGACTGCTACTGGGGTACATTTCTGGTTTAAGGAACAAAATAAAAAAAAAAAAAAAAAAAAAAAAAAGGTATACTTATATAGGGACCAAAAATCGAAAAATTTGATCGATTAATTGATATTTAAGATTTATTTTAACATTTCAATCGACATAGATATGACTGAATTGAATCGTAAATCATAAGATTTTGTGCTCGGTATTGTGAATTTTCGTAAATGTGGCGGATATTTTGAATAGTGAAAGAGAGATCTACTTTGGGGTCAAATTTGCAATTTGGGTGGAGCTAGAAAGATGGAGCAAGTATATGGGTGATTCTGCAATTTTCAGAACTATTTTAGCCAGGGAGGTGGATTTTCGGAAATTACAAATTGACCTTCACTTGGGGGGGCACGGTTTAAGGACCGATATTAAAAATGATATATAATACAGGGACCAACTCTGTAATTATCATAAGTTTATTAAAACTAATATAATAAATTAAAGTTTTCTTCAATCTGAAATCGTAAAATGTAATCGTTTTGTTGATATTTAAGATTTATTTTTACTTTTGAATCGACTTAGGTATGAATGAATTGAATTGTAAGATTTGAATCTTAAATCATAAGATTTTAAACTAGATATTGCGAATTTTCGTAAATGAGTCACACGCGATTATAGTTGAGGAGGAGTAGAAGCATACTGCGTTGGTGGCGAGTATTTCGGATATTGCAAGAGAGATCCACTTTGCGATTAAATCTGTAATTTGGGTGGAGCGGCTGGGAAGATGGGGTAAGTATAGGGGTGATTCTTCAATTTTCAAAATTGTTTCAGCCAGGGAGGTGGATTTCCAGAAATTACATTTCTGGTTTATGGACCAAAAATAAAAAAGGTATATTATATAGGGACCAAAATTCGTAAAATTTGATCGATTTGTTGATATTTGAGATTTATTTAAAGATTTGAATCGTAAGATTTGAATCGTAAATCATAAGATTTTATGCTCGGAATTGAGAATTTTCATAAATGTGGCGGAAATTTTGGATGTTGAAAGAGAGATCCACTTTGGGGTCAAATTTGTAATTTGGGTGGAGCGGCTAGGAAGATGGAGTAAGTATCTGGGTGATTCTGCAATTTTCAGAGCTATTTAGACAGGGAGATGAATTTTCAGAAATTAGTAATTGACCTCCACTTGGGGGCATTTCCGGTTTAAGGACCAAAATAAAAAATTGTGTATAATATAGGGACAAAAACTGTAATTATCGCAAGTTTATTATAAATAATATAATAAATTAAAGTTTTCTTAAATCATAAATTGTAAAATTTGATTGTTTTGTTGTTATTTAAGATTTATTTTAACTTTTGAATCGACTTAGGTATGAACGAATTGAATCGTAAGAATTGAATCACACATCATAAACTCGGTATTGCGAATTTTCGTAAGTGAGTCACACGCGATTATACATGGGGAGGCATACTGCATTGGCGGCAGATATTTCGAATATTGCAAGAGAGATCCACTTTGGGATTAAATTTGCAATTTGGGTAGAATGGGTGGGAAGATGGAGTAAGTATAGGGGTGATTCTACAACTTTCAAAACTATTTCAGTCAGCGAGGTGGATTTCCGGAAATTACAAAATAACCCCAACTGGGTGCATTTCTGGTTTAAAGAACAAAATTTAAAAAAAGCATAATAATACAGGGACCAAAAATCGTAAAATTTGATTGATTAATTGATATTTAAGATTTATTTTAACATTTCAATGGACATAGATATGACTGAACTGAATCGTAAGATTTGAATCATAAATCATAAGATTTTGTGCTCCGTATTGCGAATTTTCGTAACTGTGGCGGATATTTTGAATAGTGAAACAGAGATCCACTCTGGGTTCAAATTTTCAATTTGGGTGGATCAGCTAGGAAAATGGAGTAAGTATAGGGGTGATTCTGCAATTTTCAGAATTGTTTTAGCCAGGGAGGTGAATTTTTGAAAATTACAAATTAACCTCCACTTGGGGGCATTTCCGATTTAAGGACCGATATTAAAAATGGTATATAATACAGGGACTAAATCTGTAATTATCACAAGTTTATTAAAAATAATATAATAAATTAAAGTTTTCTTCAATCTTAAATCATAAAATGTAATCGTTTTGTTGATATTTAAGATTTATTTGTACTTTTAAATCAACTTAGGTATGAACGAATTGAATTGTAAGATTTGAATCGTAAATCACAAGATTTTAAACTCGGTATTGTGAATTTTCGTAAATAAGTCACACGCAATTATAGTTCAGGAGGAGTAGAAGTAAATAAGTCACACGCAATTATAGTTCAGGAGGAGTAGAAGCATACTGCGTTGGTGGCGGTTATATTTAATAAAATTGGGGAAATTGGGTTTTACGGGAAATTGCAAAAAATGATGACATTGACTTGAATGAAATGGTTGAGTGCAATATTCACGACTTTAGATGCCAGGGTGGGCAACTATAATGATATTGAGCTTTAATCGTCTCTCTGATTGTAGAAAGAAGCCCCAAAATAATTGAGTCAATACTTGATTAGAGAGAGATAGCTAAAACAAAAAGATAAATGTTCGTTACTTCGCTACACTGAGACCAAACTGTCGCTCTTCCATTGAACAAAAAGTGTGCGAACAAATTACGCATCAGAAACGACGAAGAAAGACAAAAAGAAAAAAGTAGTATATAAACTACACAGACGGACGACGATTTTTACAGGTCAAAATAGCCCAAAAAACTATACTCTACATAGTAATAAAATTATTGCATAAAATCAAAGAAACAAACCAAACATTTATCCAGATGTGGAACATGTTCTCTGCAAGGGTTCCTCCAGGCTCGGGTTCTCCAATAATAATTTGTAATTATATTTGTTATCAGTAAACAGGAGAAATTAAAAAATCAAGGAGGTCGAGAAACTATGCGATTGCCGAAAATGCTAGGTTGATAAAGAAACATCAACTTAATTTGTACTAAAAAGTGCCTCCGCATAGGAACTCGGTCTTGGTGAGAACCTGGTGGCGATTGCTGAAGATAAACATAAGTTGACTACCGAATAGAGGGTCATATTTATCAAGGAAGAAAGCAAGTCGATCATACATAATTTTTTGACCAACTGAGAAACCATTATCAACATTCCGACTTTTTTTGAACACAATCACAGTCAAGATTTTGGAACACAACATCCCTATTTTCGGAACAGAGAAAAGCATGGACTCGATGAAAATGAATTGATTACATCAACGAGTAATAGAAACAAGAACTCATGAACTGAATTAAAATCTGACCTTTATAATACTGGTTTTCGGTCACAACCAATCTCCGTCAACTTTCTCATCGAACAACTCACACAATTTCTACAAATATCTAATCAGTAAGATCATATTAACTTAGAAAAATGAAAGTCAGATCTGAAAACTAAAATCAACCATA